AGTGAGAGGCTCCAGCCAGCACCAGGCTCGGAAGGAGACAGACAGATACCCTACCCACTAGAAAAGAAAAACAGTAAGTCACTTATTACTTTTTTCCACAATAACTCTAGAGGTTTTTTTGGAGATGGGGGTCGTTTCTGAGCCCAGCCTTCTCTACTTGGGGAAAGCCTGTCGAAGTTAATTCTAATTTTATCCTAAACCTAAATTAATAAATATAACGGGGGGGGGGGGGGGAGGGCGGAAGAATCTTGGAATTTCTCCTTCTTTGTATACACGGAAAGTTGGGAATTGAGGGGCTCCTACTCCTCAAAGCGGGACCTACACTCTCTTCCCGAGAGCGAGAGTGGAGCGAGCAATAGTAGTTGGGGGTGGGGAGAGAGCGGGATGGGAGTGGAGATCCTCTGAGATGCCTCAGAGCGGATTATCTTTTGCTGTTCCTAAAGGTCTAAACACTTGAAGATGGACATCAAATCCTGGATGGCCACTGTTCTGCACGACCGTTTTTAGGCGCCCCTGCAGGAGGGTAAACCTGCAGGAGGGTCAACCACAGAATTAGATCATATTCTAGACTATTTCTTTAAGATCTAGTCATTTTCCTTTAAACACATCGATTTTCCTCTCTAGTTATCCTTTGGGCTCCCATTTCCCCTCGGAAGGAAATGACCCTGGTCTGAACTGGAGATGTGGAAATCCATGTCCCAGCCATGCCTGCTCCTTCTTCTACAAGAAGGCAGGTTTGGAGGCTGGAACTGGAAACCACCCTGCAACTGGAAAGTAAAAGGAGGACTGCATATTCCCGGAGGGAGCAGACAGGGAATTGGGGTCGGGACCTGCACCTCTCCGCCTCAGCAGAAGGAAGTGCACAAAGGCCTGTTTTCCTGACTTCCCATTTCCCAACTGGGGAAAGCCTGCCTCAGGCAGTCTGAGTTAGGCCATATAACTCTCAAGGGTTTGCCCAGGGGTGCGTGAAGTGGGGAGGGCGACCAGGACAGACTCTAATACTCCTTGCTCTGCCTTTGAGGACTGAGAACTTCTCCCGGTTCCCTAAGGCCGTCTCTCCGAAGCAAGGAGTTCTAGGTATTGGTGGGGAGTCTGGGCCTTGGCACTTTTCTGCATGTCATCTATTTCTGCTTTATTATCCTGTGGGACTTGAGTGACCCCGTTTTCACTGCAACAGGTTTCGGAGCACGAGGGAGAACCAGGAAGAACCTCTGTGAGTATCTTCCCTACCAAGTAAAGGGTAGTGCAGACACTGGGAGGTGGTGGGCGAAGGTCCGCTCCAGCGGGGATGGGAGGATATCGGAGTGGCGCTGTCTCCCCAGCTTGAGCCTTTAGGAAGCATTTCTGGGGCCTAGTTCACAGTCACCTGCACAAGTAACCGCCCCTCACCCCCCGGGGGGCTCGCCCTTGTCTTCCGGGATTTCCCTGGACCTTACAGGCCTTTCCCAAGCTCCCCAGGCTCACATAGGTGCAGCGGACTCACAGCTAACTAGCAGCCCATCCTATCAATGAACTGCAGCAGGCATCCACCAGAATGGACACAGTAAACACTAAGGCAACAAGGTTCCTCTCTGCAGGCCAGCCTAAATTAACTGTGCCCAGTCTCAGCCTTCTCTTGCTGTATTATGTTTTAACTTAAAATTTGATTTCTTACAGGCAGAACCCTTGATGGGCCTTGGGTGTGTTGAACTGGCCGGCTTCCAGGAAGGGCTACAAGTTCTGCGCTGATATGGACTTTCCTCTCCTGTCCCTCTCTGGGCCCCAGCTCCACCGATGTGAGTCCTAGATTTGGGATCGTCTTCTGAACAAGAAGAGTACTTTCTTTCTCTTCCACCTCTGCTTCTCCTTAGCTGCAGTTGAAGAACTTCTACTCGAGTCCAGTGGAATTGGTGGGGGTCATGGACAGGGACTCCAGTTCTTTGGCTCTGAAGTTTGAATCTGAGAATGCTGGCGACAGGAGGACCTTCCTCACTAGAATGGTAGTTACAGTGGGAGAGGCAAGGAAATAGCAGGGGCTTGTCACTCACTGTAAACCCCAGGTGGCTTAATTTTAATGGAAGAGTAGATTGCCATGGACCACAGGGACCAGGCATCCTCCCTCTCTTGTGAGATGTCTTTTCCTTCATGATCAGAGATGCTGGCACTGGGCTCCTGGCCAGAGGTCTTTTCTGGGGCCCTGGTGAGGCTGAGCTCACAGGAGACGTGGGGCTCTATGAACCAGGCCTGCACATGCAAACCTGACTCTAGGCTCCATGATGAAAAAATCAGAATCCTCAGACTTTCTCTGGCCTTGCCCTCCTTTCCTGACACCCTTGGCTGTGGGTGCTTATCTCTGCAGAGGCTGCTTGCTTGCAAACGCAAACCTGAATCTGGCGCCTTGTAGCTGCACAGAGCACAAAAAGCCGGGGAGATCAAAAGCATTTGTAAGGGCAGTTGAGCGGGAGGTGAATATTTAACGCTTTGTTCATCAATAACTTGTTGGCTTTGACCTGTCTGAACAAGTCGAGCAATAAGGTGAAATTCAGGTCACAATGTCTAACAAATATGAAAATGTGTGTGCTCATCTCGGTCCCCACTCAACTCATCGGACTTCTCCAATTTGTCTGGATAAATCCTAGGCCTAGTGTCCTCAGGAAGGCCTGGCCGTGGGTCCGTGGGTGAGAGGGCTTGGCATTAGGGGAAACTAGGGAGAGCCTTTAAACAAATAGATCCCAATCCTTTTTGAAATTGGCACCTAGGAAATTCCTTCCAAATAGTCAAAATAGTGGAAGTGAAAGATGGGAGGAGGGAGTGAAAGGGCAAAATGCAGAGAAAAAGTGGGCACCCAATTTTGCCAGTTTGGTGAGGGGACTCTCCTGGCCCACCCCATCAAAACCAAGGTGTGGGGCTTGAAAGTGATTTTTTTAATTATGGGGGAAGGAATCCAGATAATACTTAGAAATGTGGACATCTTCAGTCTGTTATCAGGCATCCAAAATCTCTGCTCAGGCCAGGGTATCCTTCTGTCCCTGAAGTCAGCCAAGCCCCAGAGTGCATCTGGGCTCTTGGTGCCCTGGATTGAGGGGCCAGCTCAGGACAGCAGAGGCGCTGGGGCGGCGAAATTCGTGAACTTTTGTACTCCTCTGTGCTGCTGTCGGCAAAGCAAAAATAATGAAACTTTGTGATATGTTTGTAAATGATTTCGAATGACCCTTCGCCCTGCCCTTCACCATTAGCACGACAGTCTCAGTCCAGGGCGGCTCGGTGGCCGCAAACAGCGACAGCCTCAGGGTTTGCGGCGGCGGCGGCGGCGGCAGCAGCAGCAGCAGCGGCGGGATCGGAAAGCCCAGCGTGGCTGAGGGCCCAGGAAGGTAAACGCTCGAATTTTGGGAGGACTAGCTGTGGCCACTAACCTGGCTCAGCAATTGGCGAAGAATATCCCTTTTGCCTTTTTCAAAACTCTCTTTCTACCGCTGAGGGCGGGAGATTTGGGTTCTAAGAGGGGCAGGCAATAAAGCCGCCACCTCTGGGGTGAAAAAAAAAATTCCCTTCTTTTCTTTTCTTTTCTTTTCTTTTCTTTTCTTTTCTTTTCTTTTCAAAGAAGGTCCTGGTTGCTTGGCTGCTCAGGAGCCCTGATCCTGGCAGGAGAATGAGGGGACACATTGCTGCAAATTGTCACCGAGCCTACCTGAACCTTCTCTGAAAGCCGGGCTCGGGGGAGGTCCTGGTGGCTGTGCTGAAGAGGTCTGGCAGCTGTCTGAGCATCTGCTCTGGGTAGGACCTGAGTTTGTAACGTTGTCTATATATACCCTGTAGAACCGAATTTGTGTGGTACCCACATAGTCACAGATTCGATTCTAGGGGAATATATGGTCGATGCAAAAACTTCATATGTCTCCAACATAGCCAGAGACTGAGGCGGAGAGCGGTTGGAGCCGAGCGGGCCAGCCAGCCACCTCTCTCTTTTTCATTGCCTTCGACTCCAGGATGGTCTACTTTGCCTGGTGACATTGTCCAGCCTTTTCCTAGAGAAACTCCTTCCTTTATCAAGCGGGAGCTTAAGAGGTTGCCTGAGTGGGTAAGGCCAAAGGCCCCGGTTTTAGGTTGCTGGGGAGTGAGGCAAGGACCAGCAAGCGCCAGCAGCAGCAGCAGCAGCAGCAGCTGCAAAGGTACCCAAATGGGGCTCACCTAGTACTAAAGGCCCTTGTGTGGGGAGAAGACACACTGGAAAGAAGGCCACTGGGCACTGATGGGGCACATTTAGGCAAGGTTAAGGTCTCCTCACCACCATCCCAACCTGACCCAGCCCTCAGCGCCCAGACCCAGAACTGCGAGGGCCTCCTGCCATATCAGCGAGATCCAACTTCAACTAGAAACACCCCAGCCCGGACACTGGCAGAAAAGCACAGTGGTTACTCATTGCCTAACTCAATTCAGGTCGGCCAGATTCTGGTAACTTTTGGGTGACCCTGATGAAGACAAAGCCATGACAGGTCTTTGTATGTCAGAGTCCAGGACTCCCGCCAGTTGGCCCGGGCAGGCTGCCCGCCTAGGACACACTCCCCAATTCAGAGGCCACATTGCCCACACTCGTTCTCCCTTAATTTGCACCCCAAATAGGAGACTTCACTCTTCCTTAAACTGTGCCCCCTTTGGGGGCTGCTTCAGGCGGTGGTGAGTGAGGAGGGCATGGAAGGTTAGCAAAGTCAATGGAAGACAAAAGCCGCGATTACCTGCTGCAAATAGGGGTGCTGTGGACAGACTCAGAACTATATTAACATCTGTCAGGGACTCTCAAACGTGGCACGGCAAGTCACTTGATTACACATATGTTATTTAGTTAAATTTGTGAAAATTATGAGATGCTCACCAACCCGGTGATAAACTCACTCCCTTCCTATTGGCTGGCCTGGTCACATGGCCGCCCAACTTTATTCAGTTGACAGCAAGTAGGAGGGCCCAATGGAAGGAGAAAAAAAGACAACACGAGAAAAATTAGTATTTTCTACCTTCTGAAATTAATGGCCATGAGTTCGTATATGGTGAACTCTAAGTACGTGGACCCCAAGTTTCCTCCGTGCGAGGAATATTTGCAGGGTGGCTACCTAGGCGAGCAGGGAGCAGATTACTACGGCAGCGGCGCGCAGGGCTCCGACTTCCAGCCCTCGGGGCTCTACCCACGGCCCGACTTCGGCGAGCAACCCTTCGGAGGCGGTGGGCCCGGGCCTGGCTCCGCGCTGCCCGCGCGGGGTCACGGACAGGAGCCGAGCGGCCCGGGAAGTCACTACGGGGCCCCGGGAGAGCCTTGCCCAGCGCCCCCGCCTGCGCCCCTGCCGGGAGCTCGGGCCTGCAGCCAGCCCACCGGCCACAAGCAGCCGCCCCCCGGGACAGCGCTCAAGCAGCCCGCTGTGGTCTACCCCTGGATGAAGAAGGTGCACGTGAATTCGGGTAAGGAGCGGGGTGAGGCGACCTCTCGGCCCTTCCCCCACCCCTATTCGCATCTTTTGGCCTGCCCCCCCCCCCCCGGAGCGGCTGTGGGTGGGTGGGGGCTTTCGAAGCTTCCTTGGGCGCCGCAATTACTCTCTCCATAAAATTTTATAGCTGAGGGAGCAGGCCGGGACCATGTGGCTGGCTGCTTGGCTGTGGGCGCAAAAGGGGGGGGGGATGGGGGTGGGGTGGGGGAGGACTCCATTTCCACAGCAGAGGGAACACAGAGCGGGGAGAAGGGCATTTCCAAAATGTTGGAGATCCCAAGCTCTTGGTGGGCCAGGGAGAAGGGAGCGCCTTTGAGGACCTGTGAGCGCTGGGAGTGGGTGCGTGGAAGGGTTTGGGTGGGAGTGAGTGTCTGAGGGAGAGGGCGGGAGGGAGGAAGCAGGCGAGCTTGGAGCACGGGGAGGGCCGAGGGCTGAGGGACAGGCCAGGAAGTGAGGGCAGAGGCAAGCCAGGGGCCTAACTAGTGGCCGGGCTCTGACCTGACTGTCCTGTCTGTTTTGTCTCATAGTGAACCCCAACTACACCGGCGGGGAGCCCAAGCGTTCCCGGACGGCCTACACCAGACAGCAAGTCCTAGAACTGGAAAAGGAATTTCATTTTAACAGGTATCTGACCAGACGCCGACGGATTGAAATCGCTCACACCCTGTGTCTGTCAGAGCGTCAGATCAAGATCTGGTTCCAGAACCGGAGGATGAAGTGGAAAAAGGACCACAAACTGCCCAACACCAAGAGCAGGTCCTCTTCGTCTTCCTCATCTTCTTGCTCCTCTTCAGCTGCCCCCGGCCAGCATTTGCAGCCAGTGGCCAAGGACCACCACACGGACCTGACGACCCTATAGAAGTGGGGACCCTGGGCCTGTCCCTCCCTGCACTCCAGGCTGAGGCGAAGCTGCGGGTGCAGGCGGGGCCGTCACCTCACTGGGCTCTAAGGTACTGTGGGGGTGGACCTGGGATGTAGGCCGACCTCGGACTAGGTTAGCATCCTGCGCCAGGGCAGCCCCCTCCCTAAAGTGGGGATGGGGTGGGAGGGTGGGCGGGCTTCTTTTAAGTATATTATCATATGGCAGGAGCTACTGAGAACATAAAACCTTGGCGAGTCATTAAACTCATGAAAATCTCTGCTGTTGGATTTTGAATTTGCAAATGAAGGTTGGAGGCTTTATCCCTGAGTGGGCCTGGACATTCTCCTCCACACCACCCACCCCTTTCCGGGAGCTGTGTGGCTTAGTAGCTGTGGGGGAGTTGAGGCAGAAGAGCACCCAATGCTAGGTGCTCTCAGAGAAGGAGCAGGAGGGCTGAACCAGAATCTCAGAACTTTCTGGATCATCTATAGAATTTCTGCTGTGATAAAAAGAAATGTTTTGCTCCCAGTGGCCCAAAGAAATAAATCCAAGAAGAAAAGTGGAAACGGGTTATTATATGCTTAGATTATATTTGCTTAAATATTTATTTGCTGGGGAAATGGACTGCAGAAAATAATGACAACTGCATGCCAAAAGCCTTAGGAGAGTGAAAAGGACCAACTTCAGGGGACTGAATTAGAAATCTGTGGGCTCATTTGTGGCCCTATTCTGGATTTTGGGCTCCTCCCTTCCACTCCCCCCACTCTGGAAATATGTGTAGGAGGCCCTTAACCCTTCAAGAGGGAAGCCAAGGGTCCAGGAAAACCAAGTTTTTGAAAATGTGTGTGCTTGTTTCAGCGCTGTTTGCCAGTAGTTCCGGGTGGTTGAAAGAAAGAGGGATGGGGGAAGAAACAAATGGTCCAATATTTTCCTCTGGGGGAAAGAAAACAAAACCTATATGTCCTGGGTCATCAGATTTTTCTATTCCAACTGGATTCCAAATGCTCCAAGTGCCCCACTTAACAGTATTTTATAGGACTCAGTGTATGGCCTGTATTGGGATGATGTTGTGCAGGAGGGAGAGAGGAGGTAAGGAAGTCTTATTTTTAAAAATAAACTCATAGACCCTAGAAATCCATAAGAGTTGATCTTAAGGGGATTTCCCTTCAAGTGTGTGTTTTTAAAAGTGTTTCTCAAGACATTAATTAGAAGCAGAAATTGTGAAAGTCTAAGTTTTCAGGCCCTCTTCTTTACCTTGAAGATAGTGACTTAAAAACAACCTCAAACAACAAGAAAGATGTTTTATTTATTTATTATTTATTTATTTTTATTTCACATCTGAGAAGAGTTCAAACCTCATTTTCTAAAAATTCTAATCCTTAAAGATAAGGAGGATAAGGGCCAAGGTAATGATGGAGTTTATATAGTCAAATGAAACAAGTCTTTGAAAGCTTGATCCCCAAAGCTTGGACCCCAAACAGAAACCCCTGATTGCAGCTGCATCACTCCCACCCCAAAGGAAGAAATGGGGGAGGGGTAAACTTAAATTTTAATTGTAAGATCCATAATGGTGTTATTTCTTTCAGTGTTTCAGAGCACTTTAGGAAAGTTTCAGTGATTGTTTTTAAAGTAGGCTTAGGTGGAAGAGGGAAAGGCTTGTGCTTTGGTTCTGTGTCTCCTGAGAGCCGAGGGCAGGGACTCACTGGGGTCCTTAGGCTGAGAGTTAGCTTCTCTGAAGTGTCTTCCAAGCCTTAGTCTTTTGTATTAGACCCTGGGGAAAGCTCTTTGTTCCTCCTTGGGGTGAGCCTGGCTCTCAGACTTGCACATGGCAAGACTTGATTCTCACCACGTCGAGATATTAAAGATGGATATTCCCGAGTTATTTGCATCATTGTTTCTATGACAAAAAGCACAGAGTTCATACATAGTCAAGACGTCTTTTTCTCGGACGCCCTCACGTTGAGAAGCTGAAAAGGTATTTTACTGAAGTTCGGCTAAATTACAGAATCAGGTTCATCCAGAGGACAAATTTTCTGTTCGATTAGCTGTATTTCAGCCTGGAGGACTGACCTCTAAACCCTTAACCTTTTGGACTCTAACTACCCTTCTCTCTCTCTCTCTTCCCCCTCCTTGTAACATGGAGACAGTCTTTGGATATAGCATTTGAAAAGAGGCACTATCCTTAGGCCAACTGGAAAGTTGTTAAGAATCTTTCCTAAAAGCCAAATCTGAGCATACGTTGAACCATGCGAGGGAGTACATACTTTCACGACACTCAACTATAAAGCCACTGTGGACATTATACAGATTTTTCCTCTCCTCAGAAGTTCTGGTTGTTCACCCAGCTTTACACCAAAAAAACTGCCCCTTCTTCCTCCTGCCCCAAAGGAAAACCAAAAGCCAAGAGTAGGCTTTCCTTCCCCAACCTAGACCCACTACTTTGGAAACTAAGTGGGGAAACAACTTCTTTGTTTACACTTTCCAGCTCTTCCTCTCAGCTGGGAGGGGGTGTCTTTTGAAATGCTAATGATGCTTGCCTGACCCAGAGAGCAGTTACCAGTCCTGAAGTCCCATTCGGACCCTGGTACCCATTTGGGCCCAAAGGAGTGGTCAGGGAAAGGGATGACCCCTGCCCCCACCCTAGACACCCAGGGCAGGGAAGGAAATGAGTGTCCATCTGGAACCCTGCTCCAGAGAAAGCAAGATGTGGAAAGGCTCTAGTGCCCATTTGCTGTTATTTATTTCCAGTTTGTCGTCCCCAAATCTGAGCCAGAAGCATTTGTTTGGCTGTTTTAGAACCCGTGTTGGGGTCGTGACTGGGTCTGAGGAGTGGAATGTTTGCTGAGGACAGTGAGCCTCTGGCCCCCGTCTCACTTTGTCCATGACGGCCTTTTGTTGTGAGATGACGTTGTCAGTCAGCCCCTTGGAGTCTGCTCGGAAAAGATGCTTTTTAAACTAGGACTGACCGTGCTCTGCTGCCACTGATTAAAGTATTATTTATACTAATTGCTGCCTGTAGTTTTGATGTAATTCATTGATCTATATTTGCAATAATAAAAGGTGTAGTAAAATCTTCCCTCCTGTTTGGTGCCTTGTTAGAGACTCTTCGTTAAGTTTCCTAAAAGCTAACATTCATGATAAACAACCTATCTTGTTTTTTTTTTTTTTTTTTTTTTTCTGCAATGAACTAGACACCAATTTCTTTGGTGCCTATAGCGTGAAAGTCACCCAAGATTTAGCAATTCCACACGCCCTTCCTACCCTCAATTTGGCTACTATATTTTGTGAGCACTGGAAAGCCGGGTATGGGATCCAGGCTGCAGGGTGGAGGCTGCATTATTTGTTGAAAGAAAGAGAAGAAACTGTTTGGGTTACTAGGGAGCTCCAAATTGACTTTCTGTCCTGGCCAGTCCTTAGACCCCCTTCAGAGGAAGCCAGTCCTGATAAATGTATAAAAATCCTTCCCTCTCTCCAGAGGCCGGGTGAGAGCGCTTTTTCTGGGCCCAACTGAGGCTGGCTGGTGGTCGTTCCTCCATTCTAACCTGGCTGGTTTCCCATCTTGGGCTCCTACTTTTCTGGGTCTACTAACCCCCTCTGGAGTTTCTAACAGCCCCCTCCTTCCCTGCATCCCTCTTGTCCCCAGACAACAATAAACACTCTCTACTATAAAAGTACCATGCACTATTTTTATCACGAGGGCTTTCCCACAACTTGGCCTCCGCTTTGAAGAGGGGGCCAAGACAGGAGTTCCAAAATAGATAGGGGGTGTCTTGCTGGAGACAGGAAATGAGCAGAATGCATAAAATAGGACATATGTCCTTAATATATGGAAGGGCTCGCCCCAGATGCGTGGACATGTGTATTTATAAGTGCGCAGACAGAAGTTTAAATATTCAGACACATTTTATGATTGTCCTCTGCCCGTCTTCTGGTTAATGGCTCCTCCTGTGCCCACCAATACATCAATACCGCTGTGTGTATTGAATCACCGGCAGGGATCAGGAGGAAGCGGCTCCATAGAGAAGCCCTCTGAGTACAGTACAGTAAATCGGACCCTCGGCAGACGGCGCCATGTTGGGGAGCCCTCCCTGCCCCCCACGCAGGGCTGGGAGGCTGGGGGCTCGGCGGCAGCCAGGGGAGGGCCGCTCATAACCCAGAGAATTTTCAAAGTGCGAGGAAGATGATAAGAATAGATTTCTACAAGTCGCGACCACGTGATTGGCGAAATAATTAATTCAGCACGTCCCTTAAGAAACACGGAGTCGTCATTAATCTGCCACGCAAAGGGCTCTCTCCGACTTGGAAAGTGCAGGGATCCCGAGAACACGGCCCGCCGAGGGGGGCCCCCCGCGCCCGCAGACCCGGCCCCGCGGCGGGCGCCGAGCGCGGCCCGCAGGTAAATATTTGGGCGACTTTTATTTCATCAGATTTCAATCCTTAATGAACTTAGCTGTCAGAGCCGCTGACAAATAGTTGCCTTTGCCTCCCTGGTTTGGAACCGCGCGCCGGCCAGAAGTTGTTAGTGGCTTGAATGGTGACCTTTGGTTCAGCGAAGCTTTGCACTTATGAAAAATTACTACGGGTGGCCGAGTGGTGTGTGTGTGTGTGTGTGTGTGTGTGTGTGTGTGTGTGTGTGTGTGTGTGAGAGAGAGAGAGAGAGAGAGAGAGAGAGAGAGAGAGAGAGAGAGAGAAAATAGAGGGCGGGATGAGGATGTGAGGGTGTGCGAGGGGCGAGAGGGTGCGCGCAGGCTGCTCCCCAGACAACAGGAGTTTGAAAAAAAAAAAAAAAATCTCGCCGGCCTGGGGACGTTCCTGGCGCACGCGGGCCGAGGTTGCCCGGTCGCCTGTGTCTACCAGGAACAATGGTCGCTGTCACCGCATCTGCTGCCTATTCTTAAACCGGCGAGAAAAGGCCCTGGCCCTCTTTTCAAGCGAGGCTCGTAAATTTTTCTTTGCGTCATAATAGAAGGCTATAAAACCGAGTTGAAATTTTACCC